AACATCATAGTTCCTGGCTGCCTAAACACAATCATAACATTATTTACAGATGAATTTATAATATATAAAATATTTGCTGTTGATTTCACAATATATCACTTTGTGGGTTTTATTTAAAATGAAAATGAGTCCATAAAATACAGATATTTCTCTAACATTTCTTAAAATATAAAAGTTAAAAAAGTGACATTCATTGGCAACCCTTGCAAAAGTATTTCCGAGTAGGAGGATCACATCTGTGAGCACTGTCTTTCTATATGTCACCGATGCAGACTGAGTAGGCCCCAAAGCCTATATTTTGAAGTGACTCAGCAGTGCTGTAATGACTAAGGTTTGCAGAAGGCAAAGTCTGTTATCTGTCACTGAATGCTTGAGTTTGGTCAGGGCCGCCAGAAAACTATTCATTTTAACAGCTGTGTTTTCTGGAGGATACCTTAAAAATCACAGACAAAAACTAGCTCTAACAGAAGCTCACAAAAAGCTCTGCCTTTGTCGATTATGCCACAACTGTATGAACCCCCTCTGTATTTTATTAAACCTAAAACCAATGTGCTATATAAAACTATCTTGTATCAAATATTAGTAAGAACCTAAATTTCCAAACTTGCTTGTGGTTGCTAACTGTATGGGACAAAGTGGAGCCATCCATAATTACTTATAAGACTAAATTATAATTATAATAGAATATAATTTAGTCATTGTTGTCATGAGTTCTTAATCACATCACATGACTTAAAGCAAGGCAGGAATTGTTGTCCAAAATGCTTTCTCATATGAATTTGTGTAATTCCTCTGGTGTCCCAGCAGATTTAGACTTATTTAATTTTTGCTTCCTCTCCTTCGTGGTATCAACTTCAAGACCAAATCAAAACTCAGCCTTGCATCATGTGCCACACCCTGCCACATCCAGTTGACGCCCATGACCACATGTGCTGTAATTCCTCAAAGCCTACAATCCTCCTGATTAACAGAACATGGCTTTGAAGGATTTTCAAATGGCTGAGATGTAGTGACTGATTGAACCACGGGGTTCAAATCAGACAGCTTAACACACACCAACATAAACTCGCTCACTGAGGCTACACACACTCACTGATTGTGAAGCTGCCACTCCCTTGTGCACAATAACCTGTCAATAAGGCCCTGGGAGACAACACAGTTCCTTTGTTTTAATTAGGCTCGTCTAGACTGTGGAACCTGAACACCTAAAAGCATTCAAAAACTGGTGGTGGTGGTGATAGTTATTAGACAAAAGTGAATGTTGGTACTAAGTAAATGTTTTGTTCTGGGCCTGTTAATATTATCAAGACATTGAAAACAATAAGGGCAATGTGCCTTTAAGAGGTCCTCCCTTCACTGGCAGTTGCCCAGTAACAATGCATCTGCAGTGCAGAGCATCGCAACATTTAGCACCGATAACGCTTTGTCACCCCAAAGCTTATTGTGAAAACTGCCAATTAATCTCAATTTACTTATAAACAAATACACATCACGTAGAGTATGATGTAAGACTACATTAACAGTCATTCGGATATAGATTTCAATTCGGCTCACATCATATGTACCAACAAGCATGTATTTTAATAACATTTCTTTGTTTTGTATTTTCACAAAGTAACGTTAGCCCTGCTAATCACGTAGTCTCCTTTATTGTTAGATATAATCATGCTGCTCAGTAGCTGCCAGCGTCCACCCATAATTCTGTGTTTAACTGCTTAGTTGACCGAATATATACTGTTGGGTAAATGTCTTACCTCATGCTTTACAACAATGGCTATAGACTGTGGCTGACGCTTATCAACAAGCGCATTTTAAATTGACAGACTGACAAAAAGAGGTTTTGCGTGGCGTTATCGCCATAAAAGACCACGGCATGTACCAGGGGCAGGCCAAAGCTACACAGGGCATGATTGGTAGCTGTGTGCCCGGATAAGTTCACTACCACAGGTGTTTCCCATTACAGCTTAAACAAGCTTAGACAACCAGGCACAGGTCAACAACAGACACAATACAGGAGAAAGGTTTCGGTATCACAGTAGCCACTGTTGAATTATTGCGTTATGGACTTGACGTAAACCTATGAAATTATTAATGCTGTAAATAAATACGAAACACCTATGGTTTAATCGTAATTAATGGTAAAACACTCACTTACAATTGACCTTTGACTAGCTAACTTAACGTCAGGCTATTTCTTACCGGACAGCTTTGATTCTTTGGCAGCAGAATTTTGTCCATCGGCAAACCCTTGCGACGATGATATCTGGGCGGACTGAGTCATTGGATCCATTTTACTGTAGTTTCAAAGCAACTGCACAAAGGCGGTAAAATGTCTGTCGTTTCAATGACAATGTTCGTATATACTGTCCTTTGAAGACGTTTATATCGTCTGACTTTCCTCAAATCTTCCCCAAGAGCGGGACTCGGATCCGCACCTTAACGCAACGTCCGAGCACTGACAGATAAGCAGAGATGGAGGGAAACAAGGCGGACTAATGGAGGAGGGGAAAAACATGTCGGGTGAGAGGCGTTCAAGGTCTCCGCTCAGGCTCCGATATCTCAACTTCAACCTGATAAACAGGACTTTTATCTGCGTTCAAGTACAATACCACAAAACCATCAAACTATTTTAATCAACATGGCTCATCGACTTTACCTCTATCCTCTCTGTCTTTTAAAATATATTCTTATATCAATAAAATCTGACGGTTCTAGTCGGAATCTGTCATTTTATTGTGAAGTTCATAATCGATGTAAAGATATTCGACAGCAATTGAAGGCAGCAAGAGGAATATTCCTGAACACAGGCACCATGTTATACCTGCTTTGAACCAAATTGGGATTTTGTTTTTCGGCCATTGTAGATTGCAACATACGAATTTTGAGTAAATTCTACCAAAATATTGCGTCTGATAATTATGGCATAAATATTTATGGGGTAGAATATATAAACTCGTGTGATGAGCTGTTAGTAACAAAGCCAGCCATAGCCGCAGTGACAAAATTGTTTTGAATAATGATGTAGATGTATTGACTTCACGGGTACAGTACAGTTTCACTAAACTGTGGGTTTTATTGTAGCTTATTTTCCATTATGTAATGCTTACCTTTGTTCTATATTGTGGCAATAAATCACATAACTGAATTATGCTGCCCTCTACTGGTGGTGTTGACGAGTAACATACTACGAACTACATTTCCCAGCATACATGAGAGTAAAACGTGTACGCCGTGCTGAAGATCTACAACCATAGGGATGGGCCTAACGGCGTTCAACTGCGCTTGACAGCGACCGACATGTCGTTATGAGATCCGCTCCGTTACGCAGACGTAGAGCCTGGTGGCACACAGCAAGTGACTATCGGGCAGACTGAACTGCGCGGCAAAAGAAGGGGGACACAAACAAAAACATGTGGCTGAGGCTGTGAGAAAACGGGTACGTATTCTCTTACACATTGGTCACATTTTGCGTTGAGAAGTGCTTAGAGCGAGTCGGTGTTGCGGCATACTGTGGCGATATGTTTCGCGAGAGTGTTAGGGACATAAGCGTTATCCAAAAGTGGTGAGTTCAGCTAACTAGCGGCTCGTTAGCCTGTTAGCCGCTTCTGACAACAGTCGTCATTCAGCCATCTGCTCCCGAGCTGTTTACATCAGTGTGTGGCTCACTTTGTGGTTCGGGATACTTCCGTAACGTTACTTTATCTCACTTATTTAAATAACACAATATTCATTCAATAAACTAACACCGATAGCAACCTGAAGTGGGTAACGTTTGCTAACTTAACTTAGTAAAGTTAGCCAGTTAGCCTACACTAGCTAACCAGGCGTGCACATTGATTCATCAAATGGAGTATTTCGGTCTGTTCTGAAAGACGGTAAGTATTGGTGATGTTGCAGAGACATTTCGGCGTATCAATCGGACTCACGAGCCTCGGAGAGCTCCTATTAGCCGCTTTGAATTGACTGTAGCTCCGTCTGTAGCAGTAGAAGTGCCCCGCCCACCAAAGCGCCATATAGTCCATGTTAGCGGCATTGATGTAACCAGCGTTATGCAACGAGTCAAGCTGCGCGGCTGTGGGTCACTGTCTGGCTTTATCTCTTATTTGTTTAGCGTGCGGCAGGTACAATTACACGGGCTAAATTATTATTTCCGACATTTTTAACGAGGTGTTTAATAATGCCGATAGGTCTCCGTACAACTCCGAAAAATATATACGACATAAAGTGTTGCTTTGCTTACAACACAAAGTGACGCATTTCTTTTTAACGTATAATAGAATAAAATTATTTATGAAAAAATAATATTACGTTTTTCGTATGCAAAATAAAATGCTTTTTTTTTTACAGTCAGCTTTTAAAAAAGGAAGTATAAATATGTTGTAATGAGGAATTATAAGTCTGGCAATATTCAGTATTTACTGGCCAACAAATCTCACATCCAGACCCAAACCAATAATCACTGTAGCTGTTAATAAGTATTAAATGTGTATCCAGCTCTGATATGTCTTATCCTTTGTGCCATAGAGCCCAATTGTTTTCCAAAAACTATTATAAGACATAAAGGTGAGCCAATCTGTTGCACTGGGTGACATGTTCCTTCATTTCCATAAACACACACTCTGTAGTTTATTTTGATTTAATCTCACCTACACTGTCCTGCTGTCCAATATACTTACAAGATGTGGATAAATCCACTACTGTAAATAGTCCACAACAAATAGTCAAGACAGCTTTATTTGTATGGCACACATACACTGGGGCAATTCAAAGTGCTTTACAGATCAATAAGATTTAGATTTATTTTACAATATAACAGTAAAGACGAAAAAGATATAAAAGGTAAAATACATAAAATCCCCCTGTTTAAGTAACGTTTGCTAAATATTTTCAAACTTTAAACTGCATCAGTGTGTGATATTGATGTGAAGTTGATCTGACTGTTGTGTAACATTCAGTACTGCAGGTGAGGAGAGCATCTGAGTTGACTGCCAGTGGACATTATGGGTTTACACTCAGCCCAGAAGAAGCACTTCCCCTTACGGGGGATCGATGGTGTGGTTCAGCTGTTCGACGCTGAGCTCCGCAAGTCTGAGCCAGACCTAGCCCTTCTCTCCCTGGTCCTGGGATTCGTTGAGCACTTCCTAGCTGTGAACCGGGTCATTCCCATGAACGTTCCTGGGGTGCGGTTTGAACCACTGGAGCCGGACTGCCCCAACTCCTGCTTCCCCACAGTGGAGCTGGGTATGATTTCTGCACTGTATGAACGCTTCACAGCCCAGATACGCGGTGCGGTGGACCTGTCCCAGTACCGGAGGACAGCTGCAGGGTCCAGCAGGGAGCTGGTAAAGAAAGTCTCAGATGTGATCTGGAACAGTCTGAGCCGCTCTTACTTCAAGGACCGGGCCCACATCCAGTCCCTCTTCAGTCTCATCACTGGTATGACAAGTATTACAATGAAATGAGTGTTTCTGAAGATGTTTGTTATTGTAAGAATAGACTTGAAAGTAATGATGTCATACTGATAATTAAAGTAATTTGTCACATTTGAACCAGGTACCAAACTGGACAGCTCAGGTGTAGCATTTGCAGTGGTGGCAGCCTGCCAGGTTCTAGGTCTAAAGGATGTCCACCTGGCGCTGTCTGAGGACCACGCCTGGGTGATTTTCAGCAAAAATGGTGAAGAGACAGCTGAGGTCACATGGCACGGAAAGGGTAATGAGGACCGACGAGGACAAACAGTCACAGCAGGAGTCAGTGAGAAGGTGAGGCCGACCTCGGCTTACCTGAAATAATAATGAAATGTTTTCACAGTTCTTAAAGAAACATCCAAACATAGTTTAAATTCAGGATACAAAATAGAATTTAAGTTCAGTTATTTTCTTTTTTAATTTATTTATTTTTGGGGTTTTTTTTGTGTTATGGTGGATGCTTTTCACACTACAGTCATGTCTCAGTTGTGATATCTTGTGCTTCTTTTTCCAACATCTCTAAATAAACATGAAGGTAGCCCTTCTTAGATTTAGATTATGACGGAAAACTGCACAAACAAATTATTCCATGCTTTAGCTTTCAGACAAACAGACTGAAATTATTTTATATTAACATTCCTGTGAACATGTTTGTGTTTCACTCAGAGCTGGCTGTATCTGAAGGGCTCCTACATGAAATGTGACAGAAACATGGAGGTGGCCTTCATGATTTGTGCCATCAACCCTTCACTGGACCTGCACACTGACAGCTCTGAGCTCCTGCAGCTGCAACAGGTGAGCACTGCCACTTGTAGTGTGAAGTGGGTTGTTTCATATCTGCTTTTTTAATCTCCCGGAACACACCACAGTTTTCAGTTTCACAGTAGATGCTAGCGGAAGCGGTGACCTAAATGTCAAAGAGCCAGTCTGACATGGAACAATTTGACTTGCTTGTTATAGACACAGGAAATTTACATGACATTTCTCTTTTGTCCTGCAGTTGGATGCTTGATGTGCCGTTTTCCCTCATGATTACTGATTTCTGCACAATCAGAGCTGTATTTCTTTTTCACAACTTAATTTTTTTCCCCCAGTTAATATCCTACTCATCAGGACATACTGTAATGTGTGGTACTGATTCCCATATAGGATTTATCTGGTCAAACCACCCTAAATAGTTTTGTATTATTCCTTACTCTCAACCATGAAGTTATATGCAATTGTGTAGTTTGGAATGTCAGAATGTAGACCGTTAATAGAGAAATGGAAAGAGACACCTGTAACACCTGAAATTACATATACTCTTAATGTCATGTTATACTCACCACCTGCTGCTCTCACTTGTTTTTTAACATAAATATTATTTCCAATCACTTCTTTGTCGTCTTATTTTAGATTGCTGTTAAGATACCTTAAATGAAAACTTAACACTTCCTGCAGTAGTTTCACATTAAAAGCCTACCAGGAAAAGATAGGGTTATGCCTTTGAGCTAAATGAAAGCTGTTAATGTGAAAGATCTGTGCTGGAAGTGATTCACTGACAGTATCACAGTATCTTTAACAGTGTTAAAGAAACAGTACAGTAGAAGTGACTGAAAACAGTATTTCTTTTAGTGAGGAGAAAGTGTTCTCAGCAGAGTGGTTCATTTTGGGGTTGAGCCAAGTACTTGGGTGAAACGAGTATCTGATTCAGATAATGTACTTTTTAAGGGTGTCAGTTTCGCTTAATTTTAATTCAGTTTTTAAGAAAAAAAGAAGTGTTGCAAATTAAGGCCTGCTCCACAGTCGATGTAAGTAAAGAACCACCACCTGACCATCACTAATAAAGTTTCACATGGTTGAAAACACTTGTGAAATATTGTATATGTTTTACCTGATAACATCATTGGTATATTATCAGTCAGTGTGTTTCTCTTCCTTATCTCTTTGTTTTTCTCCCTGATTAAACAGAAACTCCTGTGGCTGCTGTACGATCGAGGTGATCTGGACAGGTGAGTTTATGTTGATGAAGTTAGTAAAGCCCAGATCAGACCAAAGATTCGCAATGAGGTGAATTGAAACAGGCAGCTACTTGCAGTGCGCTGCTGCAACGTTTTAAAAACCTGTAGGTTCACACCAATGCAACCAGATGAGACAGTATCATCTCTATGCAACAACTCTCTGTACTTCTGATTTCTACCTTTTCAGGCTTATTTTATGGCTGAAAATAATTTGTAGCTTCTTAAAATATGAATGAGGATAGTGATAGTGAGACACTGGCTGCAGCTGCATTTGTAGTAGTGATGAGGCAGTAAAAAAATAGAACATCATCTGATAGACTGTATTCATAATCAATATGCCACAATGATATAAACAACCAGCACCAATTAATCAGTCAATGAGAATGTTTCATGTAAGGGGACACCAGGACACCATTAGGACAGAAACAGAGGGCATGGACAGAGCATCTGCTGCAGCAAGTGAACACATTATTTGCAGTCATTTTGACTTGACCAGCAGACTTCACTACAAGCTGACTGGCTGTTGAGTCTGGTGACGTGCTTTACACTTTAAAGCCAGCTGCTGGCGATTTGACCAGCTGAGTTGCAGGTGACACCATCAGCCGGCTTGAGTCGAGCTCAGACCAGCCAGTTCACACACTGTGGCAACTTTCCATTGCAGCGTTCTAAAATGGTTTTGTCTCGTCACAAATCTTTGGTCTGAACTCGGCTTCTCAGTTTCTATACACTGCCTGTCCACTATGAAGAGTTGATTGTGTAAACATACCTGATTTCACAACCTCCTCCCTTCCTGTACTGTGTTCCAGGTATCCTATGGCCATGGGCACCCTGGCAGACCTTGAAGATCAGGATCCAATCCCAGGCAAAGAGAACCCCTTGAAAATCCACCTCAAGGTCAGTCTTAAGGAGTCTCTTATTTATTTTCAATTTGACAATTGTATGACACAGTCATATAAAAACCAGTATCAGACATGCACTTATAGAAACCAACCAGATGGGGTCAGCTCCACTTTGACTGGTTGTGACTTTTTCACTGAGCGTCATGTATGGTCCCTTCAAAGTTAGACAGCATCATATCATCATACTTTTCTGCCTCAAACTTGATGCAAATGTGACAACAGATTTGTTTTCTGCACTCAAAACTCCCAAGTGTTTCACAAATCTTTATAGATCAGGATGTTAAATAGGAGGTAATTTTTTTTCTGTGCTCTCTCTCACTCTCTCTCAGGCTGTCAGTTCTGCTCAGAAGCACTACAACAACGAGCACATCTACCCCTACATGTACCTGGCTGGCTTCCATTACAGACACAGGGATGTGCGGGAGGCTCTCAAGGCCTGGGCTGAGGCAGCTCAGGTCATGCAGGAGTGAGTTCACACTGCTTTAAACACTAATATGTTGTGTGTAGAATGAATGAGTTTCGTGCTCAGATGGAAATGTGAGGTCGTATTTTCAGTCTGGGAAGATGAGTACACAATATTTTCAGCATTCAAGTACTCGTTTAACGTGTAGAGTCATCACAGCCTAACCTCCCACATGTGAACATGACATTTCTAAAAAAATATTATATCATTGTGGAGCTGCGTTCAGCATATTGCTTCAGTATTGCTGCAGAAACAGCCCCGAAATTGCCATCGCCAAACCCACCAGACTCCATTTAAATAAACAGTAATTTTAGAGTGTGTAGAGCCAGCATATTTTCACATCTAACTGGGTGAATTAAGGGTTCATTTCAACCGAGCTGGAGTTGGTGATTGTTGGAACAGAGGAAAGACAAACCAAGGCATTTTTCGAGTTTTATTTGGTTTCTGCCAACTTTGAAGGAAGTGTGTGTTATGACAAAATTACTGTTTATTTAAATGGTGGGTTTGGCAATGGCTTTTTCTGGTTTAACAAAAAGCATCATACTTAAACAAAAAAGGTCTATTTCTGTAGAGGTACTTTCCATAATGTTGTCAGACACTTAGGATAAAAAATTAATTTATGGGAAAATATAGGATCTAGGTTGAAAAATAATAAAGTTATCCTTTAAACTGATATTCTCAACATTACAGTGAACTATGCTGGTGTTTACAGTAGGGCTGTTGTATTGTAAATCAGAGTATGGTAGTCATCGAGCAGCCTTAGGTGTTATTGCAACAGATCAACACAAGATGGCAGTAAATGCAAAGCTATCTTCCCTGTCTTGTGTGTTGACTACTAACAAAAATTGAAGACAAAATGCATTCACGAGCCGTCTCATCTGAGAGCTAAGTATCAAAGTAAAGTGATGTGACAGCTGAGTTTGAGCTCTGGTTGGGGTTGTTCTCTGTGGTGATTTTCCTCTGACATCAGCCACAACAAAGCCCAGTCCCAGTTCGTTGGAGAGGGTGTGGCAGTCGATCCAGGAAGTGTCCAGCATCCTCACGCTCTCTCCTCCCCTTTAAACACACTGTTCATGAGCTTCAGCTAAAAATACCAGGACTGACCCAGCACACCACACCACACCACACATTCTCTCCCCATCTATCAGCTTCCTTTTCCTGCTCCTCCATTGTTCTTCAATTTCAGCTCGCCCTCTGTGCGCCATCTACAAGAGGGAGTGTGTGTGTGTGTGTGTGTGTTTGTGTGTGTGTGTGTGTGTGTGTTCACAACAGTGGATTCTTTGTAGATTTTGGAGCAAAGTTCACTTGTCTGGACTGTTGGAATGTCACTGGTCAACATTACATCCTGAAAGATATAAAATGATAAAAGAACTCTCTTAATCTGAACTCAGCGCAGTGATATCTTTTGTAACAGAAGAGACACTCAGTAGATGAACAGAAATTTGGCTTGTAACATGACTTTTTCAGTCTTTTCTTCTTCTTTCTCCTCGCTGTTATTTAAAAGTCCTTTACCTCTCACCTGCACTTGCAGCTATAATTATTTCCGTGAGGACGAGGAGATCTACAAGGAGTTCTTTGACATTGCAAACGATGTTATCCCCACTCTGCTAAAGGAGACAGCTGCTGCTGCAGAGAGTCCTGCGGAGGGAGCAGAGGGAGGAGAAGGAGCTGACAAGGCAAGTATTTCCAGCCACAGAGGAGGGCTGCAATCCAGCAGATTACACTTTCAGATCTGGTCAGCTTATTTCATTTACAGTTTTTACTGTTTGGGGAGGGGGCTGTCAGTAGGACAAAATACACCTGAGAATCCGACCCTCCCACCTCCTATTAACATGTGATCTGTATCTGGATAAGGTATCTGGATAATGATATCTGCAGCCTACGTATAATGAAACTGTTTGAAGTGGAGATTTGTGTCTCACTGAATAAAAATAGCTTTCAGCACACAAACGTCTCATGTAAAAATAAGTTGTTACTAAATATTTATACCCACTAACTGCCAGATTGTTTAGCTGAATGAACCAAGTGAGAAAGCTTGTTTGTGAATGTATAACTTGTTTAGAGTGACACCACATAGAATATAGTTGACATGTTACAACTGACATGATCAAAATAAAATGATTAAAAAAAAATGTTAAACCTTATGGGAAATACCTTCGTTGCATTTAGTAATGTAAAATCTGTGCGGCTGTTGAAACATCACCAGTATCATGTGACACACACGGACCAGACTGGCATTGTGTCACTTCTAAGGCCGCACCGCCTCTTGGGGAAAGAAATGGGAAAATGTCGAAAAGCTGTTGTGTGGCGGGCTGACCAAAGCTTTCACACTGAGATCTGACGTTACCTTAGGTGGGAGGCCGCTACAGTACAGCAGCATCAGACTGACATCTCCAACTAAATCTCAGCCTAGATTCAACAGTTGGCTGTTCACTGGGGCTGGGTATCATTTAGGTTTTTTCCAATACCGGTCCTGAAACGATACTTTTAAAACAGTACTGACGACGAAATGGTGCCTGAACTGATTATACATGATGTCCAGATATGAAATATTTGCCCACTGTGTTGGGTCATTGATCCACTTGGACCAGGGGAGCCTAGATGGGTGACAGGGATCAACCTTAATCTATTAAGGTAACGTGTACACTCAGGTTCAGGCAAGGTTGCAACAAAATTATTAGGCATGTCTATTGTTTATCAAGAAGCAAATGCATACAGATGTGTCAAAATTATTATCCAAACACAGATCAAACTGCATTGACATCTATCGGATCTTCAGTTTTCTGTCCCCCCCCAAAAGAGGCGTGGCCTTGACATATTGAGACGTACCCAAATGTGCTGGTCTGGTCTATTGGTACATGCAGCTACCTGGCGACTGGAGGTTAAGTTAGCAAGCACTTTGCTTCTCGGCAAATGCCTTGGAATTGTTTAATAGTGTATGGCTGTATCAGGCTGACCAATTTTAAATTACTTATCTAAAGTCATGAAACTGGGGTAAAATATTATGGAAACGTTAGGGAAATATTTTGAAAATTCATTGGTCAAACTGTGTGGGAACCCTGATGAGGTCTAAGTGACATGTACTGTGATTTCAGGAGCAGCCCAAGCAGGCAGCCGCCCTCTCAGCACTCCAGGACCCAGAATGCTTTGCCCACCTGCTGCGTTTCTATGATGGTATCTGCAAATGGGAGGAGGGTAGTCCCACACCGGTCCTTCATGTGGGCTGGGCCACCTACTTGGTCCAGTCTCTGAGCCGCTTTGATGCTCAGGTGAGAAACCCAGAATAGCTCTGCCTTTGTACTTCAACTGGCTGGTGTGTAAATGCTTTGTAGCTAAAAATAAGTGTGGTCTGATTCCAAAGGTGCGTCAGAAGGTGTCGATCATCACCAAAGAGCCAGAGTCCCAGGATGATGACGACCTGTCCAGTGATGACCCCCGGGAAGGCCGCAGACGAGGCCCCAGGAGAGAATCCAAGCTTGATGAGCAGAGCTCTCCTCCTGCTGCTGCTCCCACCTCCCCATCCACCCAGCCTGCAGCAGCTGCAGCAGCCCAGCCCAAGAAGGTGGGAGAGGGCCGCCGTCGCTCCTCCCAGAGCCTGCGAGGCGGAGAGGCTGACGCTAAACCCAAGTCCCCTAGCCCGGATTCTTCTCCCTCATCTCAACAACAGGCATCCCCCTCTCCTGCCGGTCCTGTGGTTACCTTCCAGAGTGAGAAGATGAAGGGCATGAAGGAGCTGCTGTGTGCAGCCAAGGTGAACTCCAGCGCCATCAAGCTGCAGCTCACCGCCCAGTCACAGGTCCAGATGAAGAGGCAGAAGAGCACACCAGCCGGGGATTACTCCATGTCCTTCATGAAGCGCCAGCGCAAGTCACTCTAGACATGTTGATTGTTGTAGGAGTTGTGGAGACTCTGTAGGACATACTGTGAACAGCAGCACGGACACCCGATTAACCTCGCTTTTGTTTGTGAAACTTTTTACCAGTGTTTTCATCCAGAGGTCAAGTTCAGTCAATATCCTCATTGATCCGAGCAATATGACCTGTACACTTGAGTTAAGCACCACATATCAGGTTTGAGCTGAAGGAGTGAAGATTTCATTCTGTTTTTATTTAACTACAGCCAGAGAGAAAAATATTTTCTTGGGAACTGCCTGGTTTGTTAGATTGTAAGCACTCATTCATCATTAGTTTGTGTTTTAATTGGCAGCCAATTGCACACTGACTATTAACTTCTCATTGACTCACGTGGATGTTTGAAGCCAAAGTAATGAGGATGACCAGAATACAACAAACAGATGTGTAAATATTACCTGGTACCATTAGGGACCTGTCCATGACTGAAGCCTTGGAAGTGATTAATTTAGGATAGTTACTGTGTAACATTGTCCACTTCTGCTCTATCAACAGCTTCTTTCTTGCTAGCTCTATGTTGCCTTACTTTGCCTTTGTTCTTTTCTAAAGTAGGTGGCCTATAGTTTGGAGGATAGCTAAGCTAGGCCTATTTCTAATGATTAGAGAAGCCCAGGAAGACCATGCACTGTTGAGACGGAGCCACATTAGGTGGCCCTGCTACATCCTATTTGCTTGATGACTTGTGGTTTTTGTTGTTTTTGTATCTGCAAGTAATAAAGACCTGATGAAAATGCAATGTGTTGAATCTGATGATATGTAAGTGCACATGTTCATAGGTTACTGAGCTGTAAGAAGCTGTAAAAATGTCCATCTGATCAAGGTGTTTTCAGCTTGGATGCTAGTGGGTGTGCCATTTTCTATGTTCAGCAGAGAAGCAGGTCTCCTCCTCTTCAGGTATCTTCATCGTCATTATATAAACTAGAATTCCTGTCTCCCAGTTGTATGCCTTTGCAAACCAGTCAAGTTAAAGTTAGACTTTACATCCATGTCTGTGTAGACCCATGGGTGCAGATCCCGGGGGGGACGGGGGGGACATGTCCCCCCCCCCCCAATTCTGAAAAACACAAATTGTCCCCCCCCAATTCTAAATAGCTTAAATGATTGAAATTGAACAAATGTATACAGTAGTCCTATATACTGGGAGAAAGGGAAGATGATGAGGAGAAATGGGAATCCGTGAGAGGCGAGAGATGAGAACGTGAGTGGACATAACATGCCTGAGACCCTGAAACTAGAAGTAGCATTAACTAACAGCGAAGCAGTGAAAAGGAGGGTGATGGCTGGTTCCATGTACTACTGGCTGTTAAAGAGAAATAAACAGTAAAGGTAAGCATATGATTCTCTTTGTAGTGCTTTTTGAATGACTTGGTGATGGTGATGAGCCTCTATGAAATCGTGAAATACGCTGGCAATCTCAAGCGCTCTGTGGGCATGATTTGCATGCGTGCAATTAAAAAAAAATCACAACTGATTGTGTCCCCCCCAAACTTGTCATCAGATCTGCACCCATGTGTAGACCCATATGTAGCCATGACAGTTTACAGTGCTTCAGATATGGATGTTGCTGTAAAGAAGCCACAAATTCCAAAAACATGGCTACTTCGAAATTCTCTGAGCTGATGGCACAGAGGACCTGTACAATCAGCACAATTTCAAAGTGAACACCTAAGATTGGTGTCAGGTCAGTACCTGACTAAATCTCTCCCCTTCTGTGCCTGAGTTATGGTGTTGAATAATGGTCAGAAATGTGTTTTTGTAGAACATTATGATGTCACAGTGAAGTTGACCTTTTGGATATAAAATGTCATCACTTCTTCATTTCATTCTCTTAGACATTAGTGTGAGCCTTTGCAATAATCACGAATTCTTGAATTAAAACCAAAAGCATGTTTTTTGAGGTCACCGTGACCTTTGACCACCAAATTCTAATCAGTTAATCCTTCAGGCTAGGTGGACGTTGGTCCCACATCTGAAGACATTCCCTAAGGGCATTGAGATACCGCGTTTGCAAGAATGAGATGGACCAAGCCACAGTGACCTTGACCTTTGACCTCTGATCCCCAAATCTAATCAGTTCATCATTGACGACCAGTGGATGTTTGTGCCATATTTGAAGGAATTCCCTCAAGGCGTTCTTGAGATATCGCACACAGGAGAATGGGATAGATGAACAACCCATAAATATAATGCAGCAAAGTTTCTCTCTCAACCATAAAGAATAAATATGAGATAAAGGGTCCTAAAAATAAGATATTGAATTGCAAAAAAGAAAAATAAATAGCAACCAAATTTCTAACAATTTTCTTGGACATTCAGAGCATGAATGAGTGGACTGTACAGTCATTTGACTAATAGGTGGAGGAAGAAGAGAGAAGCGCTGGGAAAATCTTTCTGAAATTGAAACTTAAGTATTTATGTCATGTAGCTGTGGTTTAACAGTGATGTTTATGAGACACTTGACAGTTACAGATTAAGCAGTGATTAATCTGTGACAGCAAGCTCAAGTGCATCGGTTAAACTTGAATGGGACCGCGTGTAGTATGGTTCTATGTCATTAATCCATATGAACACAACAAAAAAGTTAATAAGACACAACAGATTCAAACATGACATGTTTTCAAGACAATCATCTTTAAATGATATATAGCAAAATTCCACCACAAGGAAAATAAAATGTGAAAAATGGAATAAAAAATATGTAACACTAGCTTAAGATGATAAGATAGTATGTCAATATTTTAGAATGAAATTCCGACTTTTTAGGTTAAAACTGTGAGGTTTTTACTCTATTTATAATCATTAAGTAAATTTTTGACATTGTCAAAGTCATGAAATGCAAGGTCAGGACTATGACACACCAAGTATTTGAAAATGACATGATTCTCTGCAAATAGTGGTATACATCGAATTTTTAAACCAGCGTATCAATTATTGATTTAATGAATTGGAATGTTACCATTGTAAGTGAGAAAAGAGGTCAAATATTTAACTTTTTATCATAGAATTATTTTTACCATTTTCGTATGCTAACATCTGCTAACTTAGCATTATACATCTGAGGAGGGTGTAGGTTTTGTTTCAACAGCAGAGAGAGCACTTATGTCTTATGAATTTTTATGCACCAATTTGTGCGTTTAGTGCATCAGCCTGAGTTTTCACAGACCCCTAGGCGGTCCTCAGAGTTACTGCAAGGGGTGTCACCAAATTACTGCTTGATCATTTAAATTATTATTTTTTTTTTTTAATTTCAGTATTTTCTTTTAAATGTGTGTCTGAAAACTCACATCAACGTGAATCCAACGTATTATTAGCTGAGACTGATTTGCCTATTCATAGAAACCCATTTAATTAACAGTACAAAACATCATTGATAGGCTAACATTTACCTGTGAATCCTTGTGCAATCATGTGAGTTAGCTAATGCTAAATAACTGTGCCACACCTTTTTTTTTTAACCGTGAACCCCCAAACATAACGGTAAACTAGTTGGCTAACAGTTACTTACTATTAAAGCATATTGGCCAATTAGCTACATTATTATTCCAAGAGTACAGACATTCTTGTGAGCCACAGTGGATTATTTTGTAAACTTTTGAACAAGGAACTCCGACACATCGTCCACCTCAGAAAAATAAAGCACAGAGGGTGAGGCTAATGCACCAAGTTATGCTACAACTGCTGCTGACTTAACGGCTACAGGCTAGTGCTAACATACAAAGGAAGATTAAGGTCATGTTTAAGAAAAAGAATCTTAAATTTTGAGGTTAAAGTCATAATATTACGAGAATATCGTTGTAAATCTACTGATAATAATATTACGCACTTGAACTCCTAAAATTTAATTTTGTATTATTTCAACTTTATTCTCGTAGATTTACGACTTTATTCTTGTAGATATACGACTGAATTCTTGTAGATTTAGTACTAAATTCTTGTAGAGTTATGACTCTATTCTTGTAGATTTACGTTCTTATTCTTGTAGATTTACGACTTTATTCTCGTAATATTTTGATTTTGTTCTTGTAGATTTACAACTTTATTCTCATAGAGTTATGACTTTACTCCCGGAGATTTACGACTTTATTCTGATGGATTTACTACTTTATTCTCGTATGTTTACAACTTTATTCTTGAAATCTAAGATTTTTTCCTTTAACATGGTTTAATCCTCTTTCATACAAACAAGAGAAGACTTGAAAATATTCAGAGAATTCTCCTAAGTGCAAATCAGTTTTACAAAATACTGATAATGCTAAGGGATCGTCGACCTAAAAAACGTTGAAGACCCCTGATGTAAAGTGTAAATGTCTTAAATTTTGTCAAAAAAAAAAAAAAAAGTCCATTGCTACTTTCATGTTTTTATTGGAGGAGACAAAGGCACATGTTGTACATATTGAGGGGGACGTGTCCCCTGACCCACCTTATGCAATCTACACCCATGCATCTGAGGCTAATGGGGAGGTTAATAGTTCCATGTATTTGGTCAAAAACCAAAGCCTTGGACATTTTGAAGTTCAAATTGTGACATACTAAGTCTAGGAGATTATAAGTAAAAATGATGAAATAATAAGCCACAATTTTGACTTTGAGTAAGGCTTTGTAAATCAGACTTATGTGACAATCTTATGAGATATGAGGCTAAGTCTGTATTACGCCACAATACGTCAGAAGTTTGGCTTTTGTAAATCAAGATTATGAGCAAAGTTAAAACTTTGACTTACCAAGTCAAAATTAAGTCAGAGTTTTGATTTATCCCTGAGACTTTTGTATGTTATAGATTTAATTCACCATGAGTTAGTTTTTTTTAACCACTCCTACCTTTGTATCTTTTTCTGGTAAGCACGACAGCAGGGAAGTGAAGGTCGACACCACAGTTCAAGCTGAACGACCCGGGTTGCAATTTTTTACAGTGTGGAGTGTCTTCGCTCATGCGTGATGTGACTCGAGCACCACTCGGGACTATCTGCTCACACACATACGCCTGTAGTGTGTCAGTGTGTGCGGAGTTGTGTGTATGTGTGTGTGTGTGTGTGTGTGTGTATGCCAGCCGGATCGATACACCAGCAATTAGTCAGCTCCAATTAGTTCCCATTAACGAGCCAGACAGCCAGTCAGGAAGAGTGCGTTCATCTGCTGCTGCCTTCTCCCCGGACTACAACAGCTGGGATGTGTGAGTAGAAAGCCCGCCAGGCTCACCCACAGCACCCAGAGGTGTCTCCAAACATGGATAGGATAGGGGTGTCGTTCCTGGACCCTCTGGATGACTACGAGTTAATCCACCGGATTGGGTGCGGCACCTACGGAGATGTGTTCAAGGTGAGCGAGAACATTTCCTCGTGTTTTCACCGCAGCACACACACAGAAATATAACCTTCATCAGGACGTGTTATAGTTCAGCAACAGAGATTCTCCCACTGCACATACACACACACACACACACACACACACACACACACACACACTTCCTGTCATCAAGGTGAAACCGTATTTAGAGAAGTCTCTGAAAAAAGGAAAATAATACTGAAAATTGTCCAGTTAATTTGAGTTATAGTTTTGGAAATAAAGTCAGTGTAAAGGATATGAATCCAAAACATTTTTGTGTGTGAGTGTGTGAGTGTGCCATTATGTCATTACAGCAAAGCCATTTAACTCTTTAAACCCCTCAAAGAAACCCAGGATCTCCTTTAACATTTTACAAGGCATAGTTACCAGCCTGTTGCATCAGTTGTGCCACAGGTTCATGTTGTCTTTATAAAGGTGGACAATATGCATAAAATCTCCTACAACAATGTTATTTTGTATTGCAATATTGATATATATCACAATATTTCTAATCAGCAGGGCAAATCAACAGTTTATAGATTAAAAAAAGGCCCCCCAATACGATATGTAGGTCATGATACACTATTATTGCGATTTTGTTTTGCAATGTATTGTGATAACATATATTGTGATATATTGCGATTTTATACCTTTTTCGACTGCAAATTAAAGAAAACCGTGTCAACGTCTGTGTTTTTCTAATGAGATAAAGTTTCAGTGTGTCTTTATTGCAGCAACATGTATCTTGTGGACTGAAAAAGCAATTTATTTTATAATTCTAGTAGGCTACCAAACGTTTGATTTGTATTTGTAACATTAGTAATGTATATAATAAAATATCGATACTTGGCGTTTGTGTATCGATACAATATTGCCACACAAAATATCACGATACTATACTGTATTTGCTTACTGAAAGGTATTGAAATACCTGACTGGAACTGCAATGATTAGTTGAAGATCAGCGGTTCGATCCCTGGCACATCCAGTCTGCATGTTGAAGTATGGGCAACATACTGAACCCCAAATGTTAAGTGTGTGTAAATGCTTAAGCTGAGTAGCAGGTGGCACCTTGTATGGTAGCCTCGGCCACCAGTGTAGCAATGTGTGTGTGAATGGGTGAATTTGGCATGTAGTGTTAAAGCGTTTTGAGTGGTCTGAAGACTAGATAGGCGCTATAGAAGTGCAGGTCCATTCACCAGTGCCAACAATTTGATAATCGATTTATTGAATGAATAAGTTAAGTCACTTTAACAGCAAAAATGTTAAATATTCTCTGGGACTATTTTTTGGCAACCCTTCGCAACACATCCACCTGTGTTTTTGGCAACGAACCTGGGTGTTGTTAGTGACGCATGGCAGAGTTTTCCAGCAGTCTTTGTGGCACAAAGTCAGGTTGTTTTTTTTTCATACAGACACATGGAGGTGTTTCCCAGCAGTATTTGAGCCAGTGGAACCTGGATGTTTTTAGCAAACTGCACTTGCTTTTTCAGCAGCTTTTGTGGCACTGAACGTGGGTGTTTAAAGCTAAAATATGATCTTTTCCTAACGATAACCAAGTGATTTTTGTGACTAAACCTAACCTAACCACACATTCACCACAGCCTTGTTTAGAAACATTAAGTTTGGAACGCATCCACTACACAAAAATGTACAAATGAAATGTATTGGTGGTTTGCAAAACTCACAATACATATGTTTTTTTTCTGGTGATCAGGTTGTGGTCAGACAAATCAAGCAAACTGAATGTATCATTGTGGGCTCTAAGAAACTGTAAATGCCAGTTTTTCACTACTTTTTATCAATGAATACTCAGTTGATTGAGAAAATAAATTGGCAGATGAACCGATAATCAAAGTTATTGTCGCAGCCCTGTATCTGACAAGTCAAGGCACTTGATGTCAAAAGCTTAGATATCACAACATAAATGGTCTCAAAATCTCTAATGGTTGACAAATGTATATCTAATTACAATTTTTTGTGGTCATACCATGTGACCTTTGTTTTCAGTAGGAACTAGCTCATGTCGCCTCTTTTCACTTCATAATTTGAGTGTCAGGATGCAAACATCCTGTGCTGGTAACCCGCCCCGGTGCCTTGTGCATCCTGCTGAAGCAACACAAGAATTTGTATTGTTTCTTTTTTTATTTACACCAAAACCAGAAACATGGGAGATTTTATCCTCAAGACGAACGTCCCATCTGCTTGCTGTAGAATACTTCACACATTCGACCTATTATAAAGTATTTTCTGTTTCCTTCCCATGAGAACTATGTGCTTTCAGAGCACTTTCAGTGGTTTGTTCACGTTATGTTCTGGGCTGAACAGTCAATCAGTGCAGCAGCAGCTCCGGAAACTGTTCTGCCTTCATACACATGGATGACAAGTGAAGTGAAAGCCGACATAGTGTGTTTGTAGGACAGCTTCAGTGCTCCTTGTCATAGATTGTTCATGTGTGTGGAACTCTAATGGAGGGATGAACAGCAGACTGTGAAGGTCATAGCTTTAGCATAGCAGCGAGCCTTTGTATTTGTCAGATTCTTCGCTTAGGTTTTGTCAGTGTCTGTTGGTGAAGCTGTTGGGTGAAACTTTGGCTGCTGTGTTGTTGTGTTTCAGAGCTTTTCAAGAGTAACTTTAATTCTTGAATTTTTTGTTCCTTGTCTTCATTGTTTTTCTTAAACCCAAATCCCACATGACATTTCTTCACAACTTTCTACATTTACTCTTAATTGAAAAAATCTGGAGGTGTGGAGTTAGAAAGAAGTGATCTAATCACACCTCTGTAGCTTTTCTTCTTTGCTGCAGGCCTCAGGCTGTGTTAGCCACTACTAATATAATGCATCCCAATCTCAGACTCAAGTGTCAGTGGTGGAGTTGCATTATGGGCATGGAAGAAGAATTAGGGCTGTAAATCAAGTTTCATCACGATATGATATTATATCGATTCTTTAGCCAACGATTCAGTATTTGCTGATATCACAAATATGATTTTGATACAGTTCAATTCGGGGGTCTGCGATCGATATGAGACGTTATTACTAAATATCCTCATTGGGCCTCATTCACCAACCGTTCTTGCTCAAATTGAAGAGAAACTTAGGAAGATATTGGTGAACGAGGATCAGTTGTATTTGTCTTGGCTGCTTGCCGATGTCTGCCTGGCACAAGGCCACTAGCCCTCTTTGAATCTTTGATAAGGGATGTGTTTTGATGGAAATGGTGACACAGACGTGCCATAGGAATTTGAAAATAAAGACGCATCTTAAACGATTATGATAATATGTATCGATTTTTTTCACTTTGCAACAATTATATTGGATTGTTGATCACTGAATCAATATATCGACCCAGTATTATTCGTCAAAATTAAAGGATACTGCTAAATCAGTGGAGTACTCTTTAAAAGCTGCATTGGTTGATTTTTTTTGGCCACTTGGGAGCAGTGAAACGAGCTGTTAAAACAGCATGGTAAATTATAACCTTATAAAAGTGCTAACCTGTTAGCAAGCAATTGCTTATTTTCACATTCAGCAATTACAGAGCAATGTTAGGTTTTATCTGCATGTTAGCGGCAACCTGATCATTTTAAGTCCAATATTCAGTCTCTATTAGCTTTGTTTTGGTCTCCATCAACTTCTGAGAAAAATATCTGATTCTTCAGGTATTATAGACTTCATTAGCTTCACCAGCTAGTTCCTAAGTGTGTCTGTCTGCTATTAGGTGCTGAGCAGATAGTGCACAGTGGCTTTATCAGAGCTTTTTTTTACTGAAAATAACTGCTAATGGAAATAAACATGATGAGAGCGAAAAGACTCAACCGAAACAGGTGCAGGCTGTAAAACCAAAACAATGTGCAGACTGATGCTAAAAAGCTCCTTAGATTTGAGGGAAACTCATCACTCCATGTGACAGTTTACACTTTAGGGTGCTGTCACACGTGCGCAAAATTAACTTTGGCTAATAGTGACCTCCCATTCACTTCCATTCAGTGTAAGCAAGGAGCAATTAAAACAATAGCTACTGGTGGCAAAGTAAATTGGCATTTTTGCTTTGTGTGACGCTGACATCCACTGAGCATCTTTGGTTTTGGTTTGCATCTTCAACACCTCCACAGAACACCTGACACTCACCCATGCATGGCTTTCAGGACTGACTTTGCTGATCTACACACTCCATTGATTATTAAGTTAATTTTAGTTTAATAAATTTGGCTTGTTTTAAGTAAATCTTTTGTGTGGACTCCCTTCTTGTCACATACTCTGAGCCAGTTTGTGACAAATGGGGGCTCGTCCGGGATCCGTTAGTTTGTGACAAATGGGGGCTTGTCCGATCCGTTTGGTAAGGCTAAATCTTGCCTTAGTGTTACACATTAGGCTTGATTTGTTATATATGATCAATCTGGTTTGTGACTTGTAGTTTGTGAATGCTAAAATGAGTATAAACACTTTTGAGTAGTACACTTTAAAGTGTTTTGGTATTAGCATGGTGATTGAGACTTTTGGGAGTATCACACAAGGATTTTTGTTTGTTTAGTTCTTTGTGTGGTTCATTTTTGTGGATGCTGGAAGGGAGCAGCATTTGTTTCCCCCTTTCTTTGATTGCAAAACCATGTATTTCGAAAATTGAAAAACAAAAGTACTGGTGCATGTAACTGGTGAATACAGCCACATTAGTTTGAAGAGCCACGCACCCCTCTGTAGGCTGAAGTGGTTGATCTCAACAGGAGATCAACCAGTTTGTTGTTTTCACTTAGTGTGGCGGAGAATGTGGTTGAAGACTGTCTTGGGAGCATTTCCCTGGTTTCCTGAAGGTCACCAGTTTCTGGTTGCCTTTTGGGTTCCGGTGGAACCAGTGCATAAGTACCCACCACCAGTATCTGTCTGAAGACTAGGTTTGAGATTAATTAGCTGTGACCAGTTAGATAGAGCTGGGGAGCCTGAGCTCTGTGGTTATTTGATTTCACCATTGCACATGTTCCTGTGAACTTGTTTTTG